ATCTGAAGCCTAGTGCTCTCAACCTTAAGCCGCCCCAAAGCTTAGAACCCTCATGGGAGTTTCCGAAATTAGGGGTACCTTATGTGAGGGTCCTTATAATAAGGATCCTACTATTTCGGGTACTATATTGGGGTCCCTCATTTTTGGAAACTCCCTCATAAACCCCTGGCTAGGTTTCCCGCGTTATCTTCCCTGGTTTAGACATGTCTGCATGTGTTCATGACTAAACAGAACCTTAAATCTACTCCTCACACACCCCTCTCCCCTCAGAACAAAATCCTTACCTTCCCCGAAAGCCCTTAACTAAGCTTAAACCTAAGCTCGTAGGATGGCCGGGTCCAAACCTCGCTGCTTCCCGTGGCCGCCTGTGGCTCCTTGGGAAGGCCTGGCGTCCCCTTTAAAGAGTGGGGTTTAGGTTCAGGGGTAAGGTGGTTTAGGGGGTTATGTGGTTCAGGGTCTAGGGTTTCATAATTTCATACGAGTATTGCGAAGGTCTTTGTCAGGGCTTTAAGGGGGCCTCTAAGGGGTTAGAAGGTTGTTTTTAAATCGTGTTCAATAGAGGGGCCTGTATTAAGTTCATCAGGGTTGTGGGGTACGTTTTGTGCAGTCATGTGGGGGTGTTGAGGGGATGCTGTTATTCAATTGCTTTTCCGACCTCTACATCTCTTGCCGTGCCGGTCATGCTATTGCATAGTTTCGAAAAAGGCAACGGTGACTCTGGTCCAGCACTATCATCAGCATCAGTATCATCGGCTTGGCAGGCATGAACTACAGGGTGCTGTCGCTGCTGATAGTCCTGAGCGGCATCGGCTAGTTCTTGCGGTGGATGTTCCCGCTTGAACGCTCGTGGGTACTCATACCTGGGTTGAACGCAAGGCAACTACAGCTACACGGTCATACACGCAGCATACACAGGTCACACAGTAAGTGATTACTCAGCGCCCCCCTAGAACCTCAAGTATCCTTGCTTGGAAGAAGCAAGACTATCAACCAGCATCATCATTGTACTCTAGGGGCCTCAACAATTACGAAAACTACTTTGGGGTTTCCTTAATCTGTTTATCTGTTTATAGTATCACGGGCCCCAAACCCACATTCAAATTATCAAGACCCCTATATTCTGGAACCCTACCATAGATCCTCCTTTAAAGGGAGCCTTTTTTCTAAGCATTATAAGACCCCTATGCCAGACCCCCTTGTCTGCAGAAGGCCGGAAGGCCGAAACGCTTTCATGCAGCTTCCGAGCAAGCTGTGCCTCGACAGACCCTTAAAGGCTCCAAGTATCATTCTGGTATGTACTCAGACCCCCCAAAATACCCTATAAGTATATACACCATAATGATACTTGGACCCTTTGGGAGAGCAGTTTCTTGGGGTTTAGGGTTCCGGAGGTTTCGGGCAGGTCAAGAAATTTCAGAGTTGCTACGGTGCGTGGAGGAGGTGCTTTCAGTGGTGATGGACTGCTTCCAGGTGACACGTGCTGGTATGCGTTTCCATGGTCGAATTTGTGGTGGATGCAGGTGGCAGGCTTATTCTGATCATGATGGTGGCGGTGAAGGAGTGGTTTCTTTTCAGTTTTCAGTTTGCTGCACGTATTCCTAGGCAGTATATGACGATAACTATTCGATTGCTTTTCGAAGGCAGCGGCAGCGAGCACCACGTGCTGTTGGTCTGTTTTTTCATTTACATCTGTCAGAAACCCTGCGCCTCAACATCCCACCTCCCGTAATTGCCGGCTCACGAAAGCGGCCGCGAGATGGAACTCGCGCGCTCGAGTGCCGAAGCCTGAGCCTTCGAAGCCAACATCTGTAGACTCAACCTCAAACTGTAATAAATGCGGCTGCAGAATATCACATCACAACCAGCCACAGGTGTGGAGAGAAACTTCAGGAGCTGCCCGTTCGGAATTCAACGTCCATAGTCGCATTATATTTAGACAGTCGCGACGACGACGACGACTACTACTACTACTACTACTACTACTACTACTCCTGCTGCTGCTACTACTGAGTAACCACTACCTACTGCCTACTACCACCTACCACCTACCACCTGGCACCTACCACCTGCTACTCACTACTCACTACTCGCTACTCGCTACTTGTTACTTACTACCTACTAAGACTGACGACTTACTAGTTGCTGCATATTACTTACTACTGTATACTTGCTACTTACCACTTTGCCTTTGCTGTAGGCCGAACCTCGCCTACATCGGGCTAGGCTTGACGGAGGTGTGAGCCCGGATGCTAGTTGTACGATGTAAACTTCGTGTGTGAGCCTGGGTACTAGTACAACCTGGCAGCCAGGATTCGATGTCGAGGGTTCAGGGTCCAACAGATTTTGCGTCAGGCTATAAACTAAAACACCTGGTTGAGCTCTCCCGCACAGCCAAGCTGTCGACAGAGACCTATGCGAACGTCTTAGATTTCAGGGAAAGCAGGGTTTAAGACATTGTTTGTCGCAGACGTGCGCATCCTCGACTTACTGTTCAGGGGGGGGGGTTGGGTAAGCCGAGTAAGCGGGAAACACTGCAAAGTAGGCGGTCCAGTCAAAGACTAAACTGGCTTACACGCTGTGCAATGAATTCCCCACTCGAAACCGTACAACCTGCTAAAACCCAACCTCCAAATCGTTTATTCATGGAGCCTTCGCATCCATGCCATGTCCTAGAACCCTGATGCATCACTGAAGGCCGGACCGTCCGCTCTACTAATAAAAGTCCCCAGCACAGAGCATGAGCCCTGGCTGCCGAAACTCGAAAACCCCAAACCCCGCGATTGCAGGCTGGAATTGAGCATAATGGCCGTTTGCATCTCAGTGCCGGGTGTTTCTTGCGGCAGGCATGTTTTGCGTTTTTAGAGGATATCTGGCGCAGGGCTAGCAAGAAGGCTTGGGAAGAAGAGCAATGATCAACACCGCCGTCATCTCCAAGAGAAGAATCAGATCGTACCATGTCCATAGTGGTTTTTCGGATGTCGTCATGACCACATGATATGATGAGCATCACTGTGGCCACACCTCACACTTCCTCGAAAAGACCAAGCTATGGATCCGAGAAGCTGCTTCTCATCGGGTCGCAGGGTCCTGAACAGTCTAAAGTCGATCACGTCTGCCGGCGGTTTGCCTGACCCTGTCAAAGTCTTGTGTATGGCAGGTTGCCCCCGGAAAAATGCGTTACAGTCCCGAACCTCGAACAATGCAGCGCCCAGAGCAGTACGGAACCTTCGCAAAAGCAAGCTGAACGGTGGTACCAACCTGGTGCAGCAGGCAACAACCTGGCTTGGACGCAACCCTATACAAACTCTAGACCCCAGTTTGTTGCTAAAAGCATCCTTCAGGTTCGATTCTCGACCTCGCTGAGTTTCTCTACGCACGAGCCCCTGGCGCACCGGGTCAATATGGGGGTTTCCGAAATAGGGTCCCCTATCCTACTATAGTATCTTAAATTAAATAGCAGGATCCTTATTATGGGGACGCCAAATAAGTCCAAATAAGGTACCCCTAATTTTCGGACACTCCCATATATTAACCCTAAACCCTAAACCCTAATTTTCGGACACTCCCATATTAATGTGTTCATGGTTGCGCGCATGTTTTGAGGGACATGTGCCGCGCTGCAGGGCCGTGGCCCTTCCGGTTTGGGCTGCACGCCACAAGCCACAACAGTTTAGGGTTCAGGGTTCAGAGTTTAGGGTTCAGGGTTCAGAGTTTAGGGTTTAGGGTTGAGCAATGGGGTGGTGCTCCGAAGAGGCAGGAGTGCAGCCACAACGTCCCAATGCCTCCTACAAAGCAACGGTAAGATTTTTTTGGGCAAGTAGCAAGCCTGAGGGCTCCGGACTGGAAGGTTTCTGAAGTGATGCAAATGGCAGGCCACAAGTCTTGATTACTTCATGGAAACCATCGGCTTCTCAATAATTTCAAAACCAAGCATCTTGGACCAGGAAGCCCTGAAAACCCGTTGGATAGTTGAAAGGCGGTTACGCTGACACAAGGCTCATGTATGTCTCATAGTCGGGGGATATGAACTTTATCTAGGCCTACACTTCTTTCCCGTTTTGCTACTGCCCACCTCGAGCTGCTCTTCGTTCATCGGTTTCGTGACACTTTGCGGGCTCATGTCTTGGTTTGTGGCATGGACTTTACCGAGGCGCCCGTGTTCAACCCCTAAACCCAAAGCGGCCTGTCCGCAACTGAGAGCCGGAACCCTGTCCACTCCCTCTACGCAAACTCGGACCTCCCCTGTAACAGGTGAGGCACCGATGGCAATAGCAAATAGAAGCAGTACATGTGTGATATATGATGTACATGCGTAGCAACATAGTTACAATCCTAGTCTTGGTCATGCGACTGCTGCTGGGAATCGCTGGGTGTTGGTATGAAACACTACAAACCCGAAGCCGTATGTCTAGTAGGAAATACTAGACTATATAATCCTGAAAAGGCTCTTTACCCTAAACCCTACAGCAGTACTGTTTTGTTTGGGTAGTTGAGCGGCTCAAGCTGCCCCAGGGCTGCTTCGAGGTTGACACACCCTCGAAGCCGTGGGTCCCAGCGTTCCTGTAGGGTTTGGGGTTCAGGGTTTAGGGTTTAGATGGTTTTCTGATGGGTGTCCAGGGTCTGCGGTAGGGTTGGGAGACTGAGAAGCAGTCCGTAGCTTTCCCAACCATATTTCTGGCTTTCGGGTGCTTGGCTTCAAGAGGCTCCTGGCAGTCTGGATCGGAAGAAGGTGATTTGAAGCCTGTGTGTCAGGTTTTGATCATAAGGAATTCGGGTTGAGGGGATCTGATAGGATGTGATCTGCGGGGGTGCACTGAATTTGGGAGTTGTTGCTGCATGTTTGTGGGCTGGATGTGCAAGCCAGCGCTTTTTTTCCTGTCCTCCCTCTCCGAGCGCCAACCTCGGAGTAGACCAGTCTGCTCTAAAATCCTTTGTAGGATTCACATGGATTCACTCTCCTGGCATAAAACCTCACTCGAACGAGGCGGCCACTATGCGTGATGAACACGGACAACCTTCCCTTCAACGGGGATGCCATCCGTGGCCATGTCGGCAGGCCGAGTTCTCTCAAATGGTTCAGGGACAGCATGGGTCCAGAGTTTGATAGGGGGGCTTGAATGAACTACGAATGCTACCATCGAGGCCTCGCGGGATCCTTGATATCAGCATCGTGTCACAGCATCGAAAGCCCAAGTCTATCCTGTCAGGCCCGCATCATTCATTTTAGTTTGTGTGGCATGCTTTAAACTTTAGACATGGCGTAGTGCTTCCTTCTCAAAGGGATGGATATCTTCTAGGTCCGAGTTCTGCAGGCGTTCTTGTCAGCCAGGCGTGTATACGTCTTGGGCATAGACGCCGGGAGATCTTTCGGACACTTTTAAAAGCAATTCGAGTCCACAGTTTGTATGATCCCCGAATCTCCACCCTATGAGCTAGAGAACCAGGGGTGTGCGTCCTCAGTGTGATGTTCTTTAGCGCCTTAGGATTCAGGAAGTCGACGTTTCAGGTTAAGGGTTTGACAAGGCTTTGCACATATTCTCTCCCAACCCGAAGCATGCACGTAATTCCAATTCATAAGGTTTGCAGCTGCGACTTTACGCAGGGCGCAGCGAGGCAGGAGTGATGTAGGGTTTGCACAGCTTCAGTTGTGAAAGTTGCGTTGTCATTCTCATCGTTGGAGTTCGGAATTGAGTTTGCTCTCGGTCCAAACGAAGCCTAAATCCTAAACCTTACTCCATGCCACTAAAGCTTGAACATGTTAAACCCCATTGTATCAAAGAGTCACATGCTGTAAAGTCCAGCCCGCCCTGAGCCTAGCATATCTTTTTTCAGAGATTCAAAAGACTGGACAGCCAGAAGCTCTCAAATGTAAACCTCCTTAAGTCTGAAGCCTTGTGGCCGTCAATCTCATAAACCTCACTCTAAACCCCACGCTTTGAACGCGAGCGTCGGGCCGAATGACTGCAAACCCTCAGCAAGAAAGCAAGCCATATGCTCGGAAGTCCAAGCACCCTGAACTCTCATGCCCTTTTCAACTATCTCATCCAGACTCCAGGGTCACGTTGAGATGTTCCCTGAACCCCGGAGCCGTGCGAGCCGAAATCCTTCAATTCCCCTTCCTGACCCTTGTGTTTCTTTGCAACCCATACGAAGCCCCTTACACCGAGAGCACTCCACGGGACCAGACTGGAGCCTAAAATGGGAGTCAAGCCACTTTAAGAGAATAGAAGAAGCTAGCCCCAAAGAACCAAACCGTAGAAAGACACGACATACCAGTACCGCCCTAAACTGTGATTTATAAAGTATAAGCACAAAGGTAAACCTAATGACCCTAATTAAACCCTAAACCCCATAAACCCAAACCCTAAACCCTAAACCCTAAACCCTAAACCCCAAACCCCAAACCCTAAACCCTAAACCCATAAACCCAAACCCTAAGCCAGAACATGCACGTTCAGGGCCTCGGAGTTTGAATCGTGGCTCGGCAAGCGGGCGCCGGGCTCAGGTTTTCTACCGGGATGCAATTGCTAAGCGGGGGTTTAGGGTTTATAAGTTTAGGAGTGGGGATGCCTGGGAGAGAAAGGGAGAGAGAGAGAGAGAGAGAGAGAGAGAGAGAGAGAGAGAGAGAGAGCGAGAGAGAGAGGGTTTAGGGTTTTTATATACTTTCTACCAGTTTTTTGAAAGGTTCCTGTGAGGGAAACAAATGGAAAGGGTTCTATGAGGTTTCTAAAAGGACTATGAAGGTTGTGTAAGGGGTTTTCTGTAAGGGTTCCGTACTATAAGTGTTTTGTAAGGTTTCTGTGAGGGTGCTTGGATGTAGGGTTTCAGGGTCGGTTAAGGGTTTGCAGTAGTAGTGGTTTACACATGCTTTGGGGCTAAATATGGGGCAGGGTTGAGGGTCCGGTCGTTTGTTACGTCAAGGACGTTAGGGCTTGAAGTCTTTGGTGAGTAGTTTATCATTGACGTCTACAAGTGCCCTAACTGCGGTTATCCTGGACTAAACTATGGGCCGATTTGGGTTCTGGCGACTACTTTCGGGTTTACGGATGGTCTGAGAGTTGCGGGTTTTTTTAGATCCTGCAGTTCCCGGGTCGATGGGCTATGGTTTGGGATTCTGAGAGATTTTCAGGACCTGAGTGGAGAGCTGTGGAATTAGGGACCATGTCCTAAACCCTAAACCTTGAACCTCGTTTGGCTTGTCCGAGTTGCGAGAGCGTAAACCCTGCCCGTGCTTAAAAAAGGGACCATGTTAAGATGGCCGAGGCATCGTTGAACGTAGTCTTCGGGCGCTGGTTTTGGCAGCTTCACAGACCTTTTTATCGTTCAAGTCTTGGCTTTCGGGTCTAGGGAATGAAACATCGAACCGAACAGGCCAAGAAAGGGTTCCTAATTGTTCATTCTTTAGCCTTTTCGGGCCATACCAATGCAATGGTTTTGCATGCAACAGGCACGCGTGCGTCTGGAGTCTGCCTTTGGCATGAGTGTTTCTGAGTGTGTGTGTGTGTGTGCACGCATGTGCACCATGTGACCTGACTTGCGATCTTTACTTGTCGCCTCAACCTGGATTTACAGGATTGTGTGGTCGTTCTTCAAATGTCGGGCCAGTCTTGGATGGGTCCTTCAACACTTGAAGATATTCTAGCGCCACCTCCCACGACCTCAGCATTCTGGCCGGAAAGCTCAACCTTTGTGACCTCGCATCCTGCCGACGAGCCGGGCTTCCACGAGATGGCTGATGCCAAGACGCCGCTGAGTTGCACTTGCAAGCCTCTGCATCTCTGGCTGTCTCAAGCTTTCTCCCTCCTTAGTTACCCGGTTCCGTCATTCATAGCATGTCATGGCGGCTTCTTGGGTTGTGATCTGATGAGATGAGGCAAGGGTCAGTGCAGCGCGCAAAAGCTGGTCATGAGACAAGTTTACAAACCGGAACTGCTATGTCATCTTAGGCCGAAGCTCCGATTCAACAGCGAAGCTGACAAGTGTCGAGCATGTTTTGTGGTAAGTTCTGAATTTCCTTCATGAGAGAAGCAGAAGCCCTGAGCAAGTACCAGGACTCATCCTCCGGGTTGCAAGTGTAATTAGCACAAGAAAGCACAAACACCCTGTGCTGTTTGTTGAGGTTTTTCCCCATATTTGGCTGAAGTTGTCCTTCTACCTTCCGTCCAACAGTTAATCACAACATCATGTCCCCATTCGACGTCCGAACAAGAAGAGACGACCGTCGAACCTGCAGCCTACATAATGTCCAGCCACAAGGAAAGCTGCGGCGTTCATTGCTGTGACCGTCCAGCGAGCCTGCCACAACTCCTTCATTGAGCGCCTCGGCGATGTAGATGCCTCCCGTAACACAAGCCAAAGCGCGAGAGTGGGAGAAGTCCGGAAAATCGTGAGTGCTGCGAAAAGCCGAATCCTGAACAAGCCATGAGCTGCTGAAGCCTCAAAACTCCAAACATTTTCAATCCTTGAGGCCATGGGCCCTGGAAGCCTTAAAGACAATTGGAGCTTGAACGCCGTGCGTTTGGAATAGTTTGAAGGTGGGCGAAAGGTGACAATGCCCACGCACAGTGCGTTGGCTGCATGTAGCCTTTGATGAGGCTTGGCAAGGGTTGTCCAGAGTCTCAGAGGTCTCTATGGTGCTTTGGTGGCGTGCGTGGGTTCATGGGAAGCTGGATTTAACAAACCTGGAGTCGCAGCACGGTCGAACAAGGGCTTGATGTTCCGTAGGCCATACTGGTACCTGGACTGTCAGGGAGCTGTCGTACTACAGTGGTTCCTTCATTCCTTGTCGTTGTCTGAGTGTTGCTTGAACCTCGCTATCGTTATGAAATATTAACCTTTTCGGCTGAGCGAACCCAAACCAGGCTTCAGAGTCCGCAGAGCCTGAGGAGGGTTACGTAGGGGATCCGGTTCTTGCAAGCAGCCGCTTGAGTTGCAGCTCCTGCAGTTTGACTATCTCATGTTTTTTTCACGACCGCGGTGTTCATAAGGGTATTCGTTGGAGCCATGCGTCCTGTTCTTCGCCGTGATGTTTGCCTCTTGCCACTGTGTTTATGATGCTTGGTTTTGCTACAGTGTACCTCTGTAATTCGTTTGTACTGTCGTATAGTTTGCGATGAATCCTCGTTTTTTGAATGGAATGTTTTGTTGGCATATCGCAAGTTTTGAGGGAGACGGGCCTAAACTAAACAGAGTAGGAAGGCCAGGGGGTTCGGAGAAGCTTGTAAAAAAAGGTATGTATATACTGACCCGGCAACAGGCATAGTTGCAATTGCCAACGCGTGAGATTCAGAGCTGCAAGCCTCACGGATAACATCTGGCGCACGCTGTGCTTGGATGCTTGTGCTATTTCACAGCTCGGGCATCGAACTTTCTTCATCTCCAATAATTTCGTCCTTGTTCGGTCGTGCGATGACGATTCCATGACGATTTGATCTCGATGATGAAGGTGATGTTGGTCATGGTGATTGATGATTCTCGTCCCAGGTACACGGTGTCCAGCGTCATTTTCGTGGCTCAGATCATTTGTGTCGCGATCGGTTGGGTGCTGGCTCACAGCACAGGGGGCCAGGCCTGCGTTGCACTGGGACGACATTGCTTTGAACACGTTCCTCGCCGCTAGTCTTCTCAGGTGTAATCAAACTGGTGATGTTGGTGCTCGTGCTGCAGATGAAGAAATCGGTTGCAGGTTCGGAAACCACGACGGCGAGGCCGATGAACCTTACGAAAACCAGGACGATGAAGACGAAGCTGATGTCGAGGATGAGTAGGAGCCGGAGCCTGCTTGTGCTAGTGCCGTTGCTGTTCGGTGGTCGTGGCGAGAAGGCGCTGGGCACGCGATGGCGACGAAGATGACGACGGTGTTCATGATGAGACTCATGGTGGTGGTGGTGGTGGTGGTGGTGGTAGCAGCGGCAACAAGGTCATGCCCTAGAGCCATGAAAGGGAATCTACACTTGCTGGCGATTTCGGCGATGGTTATGATGTGTCCTTGAAGAGATTGGCGTCATGCAGAGATCTCCGCTCTAGACGAACCGGGTCAGCTTTGGTTGCAGTCGCTTTCAGATAATAGGAAAGATTGGGGCGAATGCATGGGAAGACAAAACGGAGTCTTTCTGTTCGTTGCAAACTGTTCAGCCCATGTGCCCAGCAGTAGGCTTGTAAAAGCGCATCACTCGCAGCTCGAAGCAGAGCCCTGACTGCTGACGATCCATACAATCAGCAAAGACTCCGAATTCTAAACCAAAAAACTGCGGTTTCGTGCCCTTGCATTGCGAGACTCTTGATGATGGCACGGCAGACAGAGAGAGAGAGAAAGAGAGAGAGAGAGAGAGAGAAAGAGCGCGAGAACGAAAAACTGTTACTCCCCTCCAAGGCAGCTCGAACCCTAGACTCCTTGCCTTCCCGCAGAGGCCGATTTGAAGAAGTGCTTTGACACAGGCTGCGACACCGGGGAGAAACCCGGGATGAGGGGCCAGGGACAATGATTCAGGGTGGTTGCGAGCTCAAGGGTCCGCAGAAGGGACAACATGCAGTGAGAAGCATGCTGCCACCGTAAGCGATTTCTTTCTTCTGGAGTGTAGAGATTGAAGCAGAACACGACCACAGTGCATATGCCTCGCGTTTGTACTTCTGAAGTTGCGATGTCAGTTTTGAACTGGTCCGTCGGGTTAATCCAGGGTCCGAGTTCTTCATACTTCATACCATACGACACCAAGTCCGAGTCGCAACCCAAGGAAGACTGACTGCAAGAATCATGGGCTAACGTCTGGTTCATGGAACTGAACAGATCCTTAGAATTGACCATAACCGTAGCCTAACTTTTTTCTGCCGCTCCTTGCACGGATCTTCTGTGGATTCCCACTGTCACGTGTGTGCCGAGTTCCCGGTGACTTGAAATGAGCATGGGAGGCAATCTCACGAGGTTTGCCCACATCGGCCTTATCTACGCTCTCGGAGACATCTTCGAGATGGAGCCAGTCGGGGTTTGATGAAGCCTGGGGACCTGGCCAAAGCCTAACGAAATTCCTCCACAGATCCAACTTTTAACAAGAAGGCACGTCATAACAGAGCCTCGCACACAAAAAATCATTCGCCTGTAGAAAGGGCCTAAGTTGGTAACCCTAAACCCTAAACCCGGCATGCGAGGAGTCCGTGAATTACATTGACTCCTCGACATATACCGTCCTCTCCCAGTCAAAGCTGATCATCACGGCGAGCCTGATGCCCGGTTGCATCTCACGAAGCCACAGAAAAGGGGGCTTGATAGTAACCTATTATTATGATTGATAGTATAATGGGCCCCAAAACCCAGTTCCAAATAATAAGGCCCCTACCCTACATTAACCAATCTTGAGCCGATGTCTCTCAAGACTTTGACAGAGAACGACATATTGCCTGCAGGTGTCCATATGACGTGGCGGGGCAAGCTGCAAAAGCCTAGATAATTCCGATAGATTGCTGTTATTACGCTTAACGTGTCACGCCCTAATGCGCGTGGCCCCGTTCTGTAACTGCCACCACTGTTAGGATTATCATTCTGCCATGACATTTTACTACTAGTACTACTACTACTACTACTACTACTACTACTACTACTACTACTACTACTACTACTACTACTACTACTACTGCCATGAGTGGTAGTCGCAACTATCCTCGGGGTGTACAGAGTGTTGTTTTGCGAGCATTGCAGGCCTGAATCTTAGTGGCCCTAACTTCTGTTCGGGTGTGTGATTAACAGCGGCCTGTCATGTGCGGTGTTCTGGTTGTCGGCATTCGTAGAATGCATGTTCCAGTCGTCGATGCTCTCATAGAGCCCCGCGGAGCTGGCTGAGCCGTGCTAGGTGGGTGACAAAAACTACTGCTACTACTGCTACTACTACTGCTACTACTACTGCTACTACTACTACTACTGCTACTACTACTTCTGCTACTACTACTACTACTGCTACCACTACTCCTATTACTACTACTACTACTACTACTACTGCTGCTACTACTACTGCCACGAGTGGTAGTCGCAACTATCCTCGGGGTGTACAGAGTGTTGTTTTGCGAGCATTGCAGGCCTTAATCTTAGTGGCCCTAACTTCTGTTCGGGTGTGTGACTAACAGCGGCCTGTCATGTTCGGTGTTCTGGTTGTCGGCATTCGTAGAATGCATGTTCCAGTCGTCGATGCTCTCATAGAGCCCCGCGGAGCTGGCTGAGCCGTGCTAGGTGGGTGACAAAAACTACTGCTACTACTGCTACTACTACTGCTACTACTACTGCTACTACTACTACTACTGCTACTACTACTTCTGCTACTACTACTACTACTGCTACCACTACTCCTATTACTACTACTACTACTACTACTACTGCTGCTACTACTACTGCCACGAGTGGTAGTCGCAACTATCCTCGGGGTGTACAGAGTGTTGTTTTGCGAGCATTGCAGGCCTTAATCTTAGTGGCCCTAACTTCTGTTCGGGTGTGTGACTAACAGCGGCCTGTCATGTTCGGTGTTCTGGTTGTCGGCATTCGTAGAATGCATGTTCCAGTCGTCGATGCTCTCATAGAGCCCCGCGGAGCTGGCTGAGCCGTGCTAGGTGGGTGACAAAAACTATTGCTACTACTACTGCTACTACTACTGCTACTACTACTGCTACTACTACTGCTACTACTACTACTACTACTGCTACTGCTACTGCTACTGCTACTGCTGCTACTACTACTACTACTACTACTACTACTACTACTGCTACTCTCACTAGTACTGCCGCTACTACTCCTGCGACTAGACTACTACCACTGCGACTAGCGGTCGTTGTGGCTTGCTGCTGTTGGTGCTGCGGTTGCTTTTACTGTTGCTGATGTTATTGCTGCTTGTTGTTGCTGTTGCTGTTTCTGCTAAGATTGCGAAGATGACAGCGACAGCAGGAATTACGCAAGCCACGCAGAACACTCACATGAACATGTGTGTATTCACCGACATCCATTCATCCGTCCTCGCATGCATGCATGTGCGCACACAGACATACATATGTATATATATATATATATATACATATGTAATCATATGTATATACAGGCGTCTGGCATTCCCCCCTCCACCCAATGGTATCGTCTGGTACGGGGTGGAGGTGGGGGCGGGGGGCGATGGCGTGTGCGGAGAAGGGAGGGCAGACAAGGCCAGCATCGTACGCAAGCCCTACGCAAGCCATAAATCCTATGACTAATCGCAGTAGCGCCTGCTCCTGCTTTTACTAACCTTAACCTAAACTTCAAACCCTACACCCAACCCTCAACCCCGCCACACGCAGGCTCTAAGCCTAAACCAGAACATAAATTGTCAACCTTATAACGAACCTACACCCGAAACTCTCCTTCAGCCCTTGTCGACTCGAAGCCTTACGCCTTTTAACCCGAAACCCTGAACCCAAAACTCAAAAGCTTAAGCTAGACCCAAAACCGCAAAACCCCCACGACCACCCCACAGGGGGAAGAGGGAACCCACACTCCATCCCACAGGAGGGGGGGCATCCTGGACCATGGACCATGGAGGGGGGGGGCGCGGAGCGCGGGACCACATATAAACATATATATATATGCGTGTTTTAGCATGTGTGCTGATATTTGTTTTTCAATTGTATTTACACCGATGTATTTATAGGTGTAGGCATGTGTATATTTCTGTACATATGTATATATATATATATATATATATAGATAGACACGTGTGTGTATATATATATATATATATATATATATATATCAGTGCTTGCTTTGCCTGTTGATTTTCGATGCGTGCCATACTGCTTGCTATGACGCACTCTTGCTGTCAGAGGCCCCGTCAGGTGTCAGGTGCAATCTGCATGTTCGCCGTTATCTAACTTTGACAACTAAGTGGTGCATTCAGCTCAGCTTTAGGATGTGGCTTCTCGATGGCTCCGCCCAGAGCATGATGCAGTGCCTCTGATCAAAATTTCAACACTTCGGTCCAGCAACAGCAGAAACCATCCCAATCCAGAGCAGGCAGTAGTGAAGTGGCGAGGGTACAGAAGGGATCGTTCTCTCCTTCGGACAACCGGATCGTAGCTGCTGTTGAACTGAATGCTGCTCCATACTGCCAACCTCTGACGGTTTTATTTTAAACATTTAAACTGCGTTCACTTTACTGTGCTTCATATTCATACGGGGATATCAAGATTTCCCCGCTGGTGGGTTTTGGCCCGTAGCTCATTCACAACCGCCAAATAAAGTGGAGTTCTGCTTTGGCTCACTGTCGTCGCTTCAGACTTCACAAGCGTGGTCAGCTGTCATGTACAGAAGTGGGAGAGCCTTGCAATTTCTGCTAAACATCAGCAGCAGTATAGCAATGCTGGATGTAGAAGCTGCTACCAACGATCAGTAAAATAAGCGATCGCTAAGGATGCAGCAGACAAGCGACAGCGATAATCCTGGCCCGTCAGACTCAACCAAAACAACTCAGACGAAGAATGAGCAGCAAAAAATCGTCAGCACGTCAACATGTGCTGTTGCGGGATGGTGTCCAATAGTACCTGAAGTCCTTCAGCCTGGCTAGCAGTCCTTCGCCTTGGAATTGGGAGTCTGACGAAGCCCCGAAAGCCCGAAAACCCTTAGGTGGTTCATTCTCTTCACGACCTCCTCCGGTATGCTCGAGTACGTCCTCGTCGGCAAGGCCAGGGGAGGCTTGACAAGAACGTTCAGCAACTGAACTCCACAAGGTCGACCCTATGATGTAAGTTTCCTGGGACCGCTTCTCGACGAGCTACGGACACTACTTGTGGTCCCAGAGTGCCCATGTAAAGCAAGCAGAGCCTTCAGACCCTTCAGGGTTAAAACTGTGGCTCCCCGGGAGCAAAGAGCTTCCGCTCTCAGCTCTCCCTAGAGGAAAGGCGCGAGATTCTCGAACTGACGGGTGCCTTGCTTGGACTTTCATACTTGGAGGATCATGGGACTTAGCAAGCAAGCTCATAAGTACCTTAATTGGGGTTATAAGTAGCTATAAGTATAGTTAGCCTAACTATAACCCTAGTTATTAAGTCCCATGATCCTTTAAGTAACAAGGATCCAACCACTTGAAATCTATATCGGGGTCCCTTGTTGCCTCGAGACCCGAGAGCATGAAGTGCACGACTACCTTCGGCTGCAAGACCGCAAGACCTCACCTGACAGAATTCTGGGTTGTACGTACTGTAGGGTCCTGAATAATTTACTATACTATTTTGGGGGTTCCTGAATATATTGATAGCATAATGGGCCCTAAAACCCTATCCGCACTGTTCAGGCCCCTATCTTACGTACCTGAACGTTAGCGCGCCTGAACCGAGGAGGGGCCATGACCTTCAGCGCCTTCGGCGTTTGCCTTGCCATCGTCAAGGTGCACTGTTGAGGGAGTGGGGTTTCAGCTTCAGCGTGGTTCGATGGTGGAGGGTTTGAGGGTTTATGGCTTGCCCTCAAGCCCTAAGCTTCTTGGTGCCCCGCGGCTTGGGACTTGGATCTGCTGTTGCAGCTTGTATACAGTCCGTACTCAGAATCGACTAGAAGCCTTTGACCAGCAGGCGACCTCGGGCCGCATGTCTCTAAGTCGGTTTCAAGGAGTGCTTGAGACATCCTGAGACTTGAGAGCATCGTGAAAGAAGCACTGCAGGTCTGCATCAGCTGCTACGTGGCGGTGCTGAACACCAAAGCGCTCAAGCGGGATAGCAACCCGTTCCCGGTGCAGTTTTCTTGCCTGAAGGCGGGTGTTCGGGACGGGAAGTCGGGCCAGCTGCCAGCTGCCCTTGGCTGCACTAAAAGGATGCGCTTCTTAGGTCTGGGAAGTTGGCTGCGTCCCGTCCTGTGAGCGGCAGGTCTCTTGGGCCTTTGCCAGTCTGGTGTACATGGTGGTGAAGGACTTGCCCAACTTACGTCACCCCCTGCTGCGGTGTTCGTACCGGTACGAAGTTAGTAGCTTGACAGGGTTTTAGTAGCAACAGCAGTGCGCCAAGAACAAGTTTAGCAGCAGTAGCAGTAGAAGTACGGTACAGGTATCAGTCTTTGTTGTTGTGGGCGTGGGCCTGGTCGTGGTGGTGGTGGTGGTTGTGCGAGTGCTAGTAGTGCTAGTCGCAGTGGTACTGGTACTCGTACTGGTACTGGTACTGGCAGTGGCATTGACGGCGGCGGCGGCCGGAGTAGCAGTAGTAGTCGAAGACGCAGAAGTAGTGGTATCTAGTAGTGAATAGTATATATATATATATATATATATATATATATATAGCAGTAACAGCGGTAGCGGTAGCGGTCGTGGTAGTGGTAGTGGTAGTAGTAGTGGTAGTAGTGGTCGTAGTAGTGGTAGCAGTCGTGGTAGTCGTGCTACTGCTATTGCCACTGCCACTTCAACTGCTACTGCTACTGCTGCTGGTACTGGTACTGGCGGGGGCAGGACTGGTAGCAGTAGTGGTAGTAGTAGTCGTCGTGGCGGTGGTGATGGTCGTGGTGCTGTGGGTGGTGGTCGCAGTACTAGTTAGTAGTGGTAGTGGTCTTGACGGCTTGGAACGTATGTAAACCGTGCGTCAGAGCCAGCTCAGAGCGAATTCACCAAGAAGGTTTAATTGCAGACAGAGCCAAGAGGTTCTTCTTCTTCGTTTTAGGGATGCCAACGAGACCGGCCTAGGGTGGCCTGAAGGACGGCATCTTGGGTGATGGCATGTTTGGGGAATGGACCCACCGCACCGTGGTCCTGGTCTTCTGCGGATTTATCCTGAAGACCCTTTTCAACCAGCAACTTGGACAGCTGTTGATGTCACGGTCTATGTTTTTTCTTGGTTCAGGTGTTGCGGATCAAAAGGTGCATGGTCTCAGGATCTTCAGGCCAAGAACAGATTAAGGGGCTTTTAGGAATTTGGGTTTGGCTGACTCTTGCCGAAGACCGCAAAGTGCGAAAGGTTTGGGACACCAATCCTCGTTCTCAGCTCGCTTGTAAGTCTCAAATCCTCCTGTTTCACTCGGCTGTTACTTTTGTCGGGTTACAGCTGCCCGCGAATCATTTGGGTTGCAGGGTGCTGTTCATATGGTGTAGATGTAGATTGTATCTATGGTTGCAACAACCGACACTTACTTCGACCAGGTACTTGCTGAAGGTGTTGGATGCCATCTGGAGACTCGAGCAGCAAGCAGCTTCAGAGGCAGCGGACTTTCGCGCATTTTAGCCCTGCCAAAGCCACAACTATTCTTCGATGGAAGCAAGAGACGATAATAATCAAGTTGGTGGATGAAGGCCTTGTCCAGCCGGATTTGTCTTGTCTGCGTCTGAGATCAAGATCGACCCTGCTAGTATGCTCGAGGCGGTAGAGCCCGTGCACCCTCAGTTAGCGACAGCGGAGATCCGAACATCGTGGCACTTGAAAAGAACGGGTTGTGCAATCTCGGTTGATTGAACCTGAACCCAAAAGACTGTCACGCTGTGTGATGTTATGCTTGTGTGTCGGGGTCCGGGGGCGGTACTGCTAGTTGAGTTGACGGGACACACCCATGATTTGCCCCGGTTCATGGATTCGATGGGTTGGGGTTGGGCAGTATGAAGTCATATGGGTGGTTGTCAAAATTAGGGTCCTTTCTGGGTACCCTAAATTTAAATATTAGGGGCCGTATTAGGGCTATGAAGTCATATGGCGGTTGGTTTGTTCGGGTGGGCTCCGGAATGACGAAGGCTTGCGTGCCTCGTGGGAGCGTGAGCGAAAAGACTCTGATGCTCGGCATCTTAGCTCCAAGCTCTTCAGGAAGAACATCAGCGAGGCCATCGGCGTGATCCTTGTGTACTTCGGACGCGTCCTCTTCCTGGGAGGAGCCTCGAATTTGTTTGCTTCCATGGTAGGTGCAATCATTCGAGGTTGCTTCTGTATGTAGTAGCACGGAGCGTTCTGCCATAATTATTTCTGTTGTAAATTCTGTACTGGCTCGTGACTCCCTCTCTGTGAAAAGCTCACTGCTGTTAGAACTTGACTAGTGTCGAGCCAACTAAGTGTTGATACGATTGCCATTTCTGTCGCCCCGTGTGCTGCGTGTGCTTTCGGTATCTTTTCGTGATTCGGGTGCCGTTGCTGAAGTTTTCCTCTCTGCTGCTGCCTCCATGTCGAAACATCGGACTTGTTTCAGCTGCCAGTGAGGATGATCTGACGATGTCCACAGTACTGCCTGTTTTAATGGGCGAGAGGTACTGCGTGCTGCACCGGTCCGAAAGACTGTCGCACTTTATGCTGTTCACTTGCAGAAGACGGGTTAGGGTTTAGGGGTTCATAGGGTTTAGGGTTCAGCTAGTCTCCTCTCCTTGCTTTGAAGAAGCGGGGGAAAGGGTCTGTTGTTGTAACGGGGCTGCTGGACAACGAGGCCTGCTGCAAAAAGGGTTCAATGCTCCTCTCCCCGGCAAACTTCTCCGCAGGTCTTTCGCATCTCTTGGAATGCAATGTAGGCTTTTCTAAGGGTTTAGGCATTTATGTGCTGCAAGCCTTCCTGGAAGCCGTTCGTTGGCGAATATCTGCCAGACCTGAAAGAAATCCATTTCATTTATGTATATGTATATGAGCGTTGTTCTTTTTGGGGGGTTCTTGTGACAAGACTAGGAGGGCGATTAGCGAAAACTCGGTCGCCTAAAAGGTGCACACCCTTTCGATCGCGCGCAAGGGCGCGCAAGGGCGAGCGCAAGCTAAGCTCAAGGCTTGTTGTTATGGTTGATTCAAGAGTGATACTCAGCAGCGTTGTATGTAACCGGCCTACACCCTAAACCCTAAACCCTCGTAAACCCTAAGCATAAACTCTATAATGTAGTCCCCAAATAAACCCCTAATCCCACACCAAGGACGTTCCGCTTCTGGAGTAAGCGCTCTCATTCTTATTTTCTGCAAGCCGCGGTAGCAGAGTCGCGAACGGTTGAAAATTAGGTTCTGACACGGCATACTCCGCGCAAGCGCGCGCAAGACGGCGCGCAAGGTCGCCTGCCCAAAGCCATGGAGGACCCAGCACAGCCTTGAAGCCCCAGTGTTGTACCTGCAGCCCAAGCTTAGACTCGAAGCCACCAAGCGTCAACAAACCGCAGTAACAAACCCTATAGTCTTAAGAAACCCTCGCGCGCGCAAGCACGCCCAAGGAACGCGCAAGGGCGAAGCGCAAGGTATCCTAATTGGCATGCGTGGAACAAGGATATAGAACAACCCTCATATATATATATATATATATATACTGCTATCTATGTATCTATATATGTATCGCTCCTTTGCAAACATTCCAAGCCCGGAACCGGGCTGAGGAAAGTACGACCCCACCGTCTTCAACGCTGGTGTCACCGTTGTCCTTGCTTGCATTGCCTACGTCCTGTCCAAGGACTGAGATGTGAATTCTCTGTTGACGTTGCGATGTTTGCAAGGCTTTGAGGTTTTAGGCGTGAGACGCCCACGGCTTCAGGAAGCTATTCACGTATCAACGGTTACTGTGGCAATACTGTTCCGCAGGGTTCTGCTTTTGTATTATGATAGACTCCACAACCCTGTTCCGATTATTAAGGCTAAAGTACTGCCTAGCAATCAGGGCTGCATGCAAGCTCGGAGGGCTTGGATCTTTGGGGCGCGCCCTCCAGTGTGCCTGAAACTTGTCATGTCTCGTCGCAGATAGAATGCCGATACAAAACCAAACATCATGTAGAGTCTTCCGAGCTCTAGACAACACAGAACTCGAAACCTTCGAGCAGCGAAGCTTCCAAGGCCCTATAGCCCTGGACCCAATAGACCAGGAGGCCAAAGCCAAGAAGAACGATGTTGGCGATGACCTCAACCCTGCCATGTACCCGGACCTCACGACGCCTCGCGGCAGCTACAAGGCGGTACGGTTTAGAGTTCATGGTATGCACCTGTGGCGCTACACCTCAACCCCCGAAGCCTTTGCGTTTACAGGGTTGTTAACCCGAAGCCCCAACCTCTTAGCCACGGTTTAAATTATACCTCTGGCGCCAGAACAGCTTAAACAACTTTGCCACTTGAGAGCTGATGCGCACTGTGCGGAGATGGGTGTGAGGGAGGGGGTTCAAGATGAAGTCCTACTGGTGGATATCGTTTTCGGAGTCAATGGGACCGTCGGGTTTAACTTGGTCTCTTGCAGCGTCGGTCTTGGATATGGGTCCATTCAGAGTAGCTAGGTTCACTTCACTGGATTGATGCTTAGCCCGCGTGATGGTGATGAATGTCAAACGACAACAAAGAAATGTATAGTCACATCTATGTAATTTCATGTTCAGTGTGTTGGGGTCACCGATCTGCCGTGCAGTCCAAAAGCTGATAGTACTGAACACCCGCCAAAGCCTAACAAGACGACCTCACTGTCCGAAACGGGGCTTCGGATTTATCCGCTTCTTGCGCTATCGTTCTTGATCCGGTAGAAGCTGAAGAGAGAAATAACGCGTCGAGGCTCTGATTGCGAGTCTCCGCGTTGCTTCACTTGAGTCTAAGGCAACCGCGTGATCTGCAGAAGTTTTGGTCAGAGTCCCTGGGTCCCCTGCGGTGCTACACCCGGTTTGGGCCGACTGCGGGCTGTGAGCTACGGTTGATGAGATAAATCCTGCATTACCTTAAGGACCCTAAACTATGGGAATTATGGTATATTCCTTATTATGGGTAATGCAGGATTTATATCATCAACAGTATGAGCTGAACTTTCGACAGTTTGTCCGAGTCGGCCCGCCGCTCCCGATGACTCCTTGTCATTCCTTGTCTAAATTTGTTTCTTGCGGCCAAGACGCAAAACCAAATAGATTTCATCGGAGACTAGTTCATGGTATTTAGATGTGGAAGCCTACAAACCCTACAAACCCCCAAGGCCTAAACCAGACGTGACATCCCCCCAACCCCGAAAAACCCAATTCCAAAAGTCCCGAAGCAGCCTCTCCAAACCCCCGGCGAAAAGCCGCTTTCCTGGATGCGCAAAAGGGGCGTTCAAGAACAAAATCCGAAGCCCTAACAAACTTAGTCCTACCAGAACTTATATTTCAGCCGAATAAACAAGTTCGGGGCTCCAACCTACACCCGAAACCCTGCGTCCGAAATATAATGGTTTGGGGCTTAGGGCCGGGGCGTTCTTTGGGACTCAAGGCCCATGTCACTCCACGCCATGGCGCCCAGGTCTCTGCTGCGACACCGCCGTCCGTGAGGGAACTTTCCGGTGGCCCGATGCCACTGCAGCCTCAAGGGGCTTTAGGGGTTGACCCCCGGCAGAACGTCTGTGGCGTCAAGAGCCTTTACTACGTTTGCAGAGAAGCCTAGGGGTCTGGAGGGGGTAGGATACATTGGGTGCACGAGGTTGCGGGGCGAGTCAAGCCATTAGAATAGTTGCGTGGTTCTGCAGCCTGTGTTTCTCGCTCCTACCTTTATCGTTCGCTCGCAAGCTAGCTAGCTATCCAGCTGGCTGGCTAACGATCTGTCCATCTATTTACTCGTTCCATCTAACTATCTGATTGTCTCACTAACTAGCTGGCTACCTACTTACCTTTCTTTCTATCTAACCATCCACCTATCGATGGTTCTATCTATCTTTCATCGATTTGTCCATAATTACTCTAGCCCATACATACGTTTTGTCTGCACGATGAGCTCATCTCTGTATGTGCAGACTTATGCATATTTGCATGCATACGGTCCCAAATGCAAACATGTATCCGTATGTGTGTGCATAAATGAAGGGAGACATAGATGTGGTTGCGGATTAGAAGGCACATTGACACGCTGTTACGAAGCCGGCCAGATGATCTACATGCATCTCTCTACTTGGGCAGCTTTCTGCGTTTAGGGTTTGTGCTCGAAGGTTTTGGAAAGCATGGCTTCGATTTCCGGCCAGAGAGACTGAAGTTATGTGATCTTTGATGTCCGAGCGTGGTTTAAGCATTACACGTTTGATTATTGTTTTGGTGAAGCCATTGCACCTTGGGTTAGAGTGGCACACAGACGAGGGATTTTGCCAGAAACACTTTGCCTGCGATGCAGAAAGTTGGTGCAACTCTTGGCAGGAACTAGTGGGGCAAGTCTGCGGAGCCTTGCGACCAATAGTTGGTTTGGCAATTGATTCAAGCAGCGGTTTGGCAATATAGCCGAGAGATCATGCTTGTTGCTGCCTGCTGGAGTCTCAGCGCACCTTCGTGTATCCTTGAAAGAGTTTTTCCAACCGAGGGATTGCCCTCGGTCACTTGATGTGCTTTTGGCCAGCTACACGTTCCGCATGTTCTGACTGCATCTTGACAGCCCCGATTTCCCATCCTCGCCCGAACAGTAAGAGCTCCTCGCCAGCTGGCCTTTAGCGACTTGAACGGTAAATGCGCTTGACAAACCTCAATGCGACAGAGTCGACAAATCTGCATGGCTGCATCGTGCCTCTATGCCGAATCCTCGTTATAATTCTTCCAGGCCCGGATTGGTCTGACTTGTTTTTGATTCGTTTACCGCATACTTCGTTTGATGGTCCCAACCAGATGTCCACCAGAACAGTGGCGGCAGACTGGACCCAGAATCATTTGCGAGCACACTATACCCATCAAGCTTCTTCAGCTGCTGTCTAGATGTTGCTTGACAGTTGTATTCGACCATATGTATGTATACCGATATCTATGTCTGTAGAAATGTGCGCATATGTACACATATCTGTGTCAACGTCTATATGCATAGTACCTGTGTTTGCGCACACGCGCTTTTTACATACACCTGCAGAAAGCAGACAGACATTTTCTAGGAGGCTGGTCGTGGATTACATTGTATATATGCACACGTCTATATTCATGTGCGTACATGTATGTACTCATGTATGTAGAAATTTAGTATCGACGCGCTCGTATACAGATATTTATGTTGTGTGACCGATAAACACGGAAGCAGGACTCTGTAGGGGTGTTGGTTGGATAATTCGTCAGAAGGCATATGAAACCCCATTATGCATACATACCTATGTACATGCGTGCATACATGCATACATGTACATGCACATGTACAAATGCACATGTGTATATGTCCTCGTATACATATGCACATCCACACACATCTACATGCCTGCATGCAGGACAGACAGACAGACAGACAGACAGACAGAGACATGCAGAGACAGACAGAGACAGTAGGTAGAGACAGAAGGCACAACAAAGGGCTAGACACTGCCCAAATTCTTGGGCATCCCGCTATGAAATTCTCCCGTCGCAATGCTCATCCGAGGTCCACTTCCACAACACCATGGTGGACAGAATAACATCCCAAAGACAGGGCTGTGAGGCGCTGAGCCGGGAGGATGGAGGCTGTTGGAGTTGAGAAGTTTCTGGCGGATACTAGGCTGCACGATGCTGTGGGCATAGTTTCTTCAAGATGCCGGCCGTTTTGGCGAACCCTTGTTCTTACCAAGGTTCTTACCAAAGTACTGTGTAGTAGCATTATCAACCTTGTCATAACCTCCCTGCCAGCACGTGTCAGGCACCTTTGCCGGCACAAGTCTTCAAGAAGCTGTCGAGTTCAGAGCCACGAAGCCAAAAGCTCCAAAGCTGCCAAAAAAACTAAGGTCCGGAAGTACCCAGAGCCGAGCTGTGGCCTCAAGAGAGACTTCTCTCTCCTCTGGGTAACCGGGTAGCTGTAGCATGCATAAGCAAATGTCTATGTACTGTACGTGTACGAGTACATGTTGATGTAAAATGTATGTGTATATGTAGGTATGGGTGTAGGTATAGGTGTAGGTGTCCATGTATCTGTATGCGGATGTGTATGTGTATGCTTGTAAGTAAGCCGCCCTATGCGTACGTGCATGTGCATGTATATATGCGGAGAGAGAGTCTGTGTGTCTCCTTATGTTTGTATACGCGGGCTTAAAAATGTATGCATATGTATATGAATAGATGTGTATTGCATTATCCGCCTTTCTCTCTCACTCCCTCTCCCCTCGATCGATGGCAGAGTTACATGTGACCATGTGACAATAGCTAATTAATAATTAATGACACGCTTGCTTTAACTTTGGGGGATCTTTTTGTTGGTCGTCCTGCCATGTTGGGGTGTGTCTTGGCTTGCATATGGTCTGCTCGCCATTGTGTACAGTTTTATAGCTTGCTATCTGCATACACACAGACGGACACACCCGAAGAGACACAGGCAGACCTGCATATTGGACTGTCTCGAACTGTTGGGCTAGATGTCTTAGAACTGTTGAGAGATTTGCATGATATTAATCTGGAATTAGCTTTCGGGGTTCTCTATGTAGAGGCCTCAGTAAACAAACTCTGCTTCGAAACCTCCAGTGCAGCAACCGTCGATGAGCTCCAGGGCAGCAGTTCAGTGCTAGATAGCCAGACCCGGGTGCCGGATGCGTCGATCGAGGCCGTTGCCCGCGAAAGCCCTGGTCATCGAGGTGGGACGAAGTCTCGGTGAGACTCGAGCTCACCTGTGGGCGGTTTGGAGCACTATAAAACCCCTCACCCAGGCATTGTCTTCATCGCCAGCTCCTCCGATCAATTGGGGTGTGTAGGTGCAAGGGCATCGGCCTTGAGAACTCAAAGTTTCAAAGATGAAGACTCAGCACCGGAACAGCCAGAGACGGCACAAGTATTCCAGCGAGGTGATGTTCTAGTGGGCTGCTGATGTTCGGGCTTCCATCATGCTTCCTGATGGTTTGCCATCCGTCTTGGGGCTGTTTTGTTGGTGCGCTCACCCTTCTGGAGGGATTTAGGTCTACGTCGCGGGACGTGTTGTGGCGACCGCCTGAGACGTGGAGTTGGCGTATTGGGTACCATTCAGGGTTTTTTGCCTTGAACAGGTAGCCTCAACCTTAAACCTCCAAGGCCCAAGCCCTGACACCGGAAGTTCGAGCCAGGACTTGGGCTTTGTCCTCCCACCTGCCTTTGGGAGTGTGCCCGGTGTCGTGGTGCCGCAGACCCAGGCGTTCAGAGACTTCGGGGCCACGGGGTTGCAGTCATTCTTCGAGGTTCAGGAGCTTGAGGTTGAGGGTTTGGGGGGACGTATGGGGGTTTCCGAATATTAGGGGTACCTTATTTTGGGGTCCTTATAATAAGGATCCTACTAATTAGGGTACTATCTTAGGGTCCTCTGTTTCCGGAAACTCCCATATGGCTATGTTGGGGAGTCATCTGTGTTATCAGCTTCTAGTTGCCACTGAGGCTGCTGATGCTTATTTGGTGGTGTTTCGGCAAGTGCACTATGCGCAGTTAGCTATGGATGGTGTTTGTCTTTTTTGAGGTCGTCCCTACTAGTTTCTTGAGCAGGGTATGGAAGTGCAGTCAGGAGTGCTGACCTTCCGTCCATGTATCAGGCGATTGCACAAGTCCTGATGCAAAAAGTGTTTCTTCTCAGAGCTTTGAGGCACAACACAAGCACCGCCTTGCGCAACGAAGCCTTCGAAGAGGAATAATCAGAAGCCACACCTGTGGGCCTCACACAAATGCGCTAGAAGTCTCCGTTGATCTCTAAATCAAAATCTGCGGTCGGTGGCTGTTCTTGCGAATAAATAAAGCTCTCTCGGTTATCCGCGTTGCCTTTGTTGGTATTTTTGCAGCTGCGGTAGGGATGCTGCAATTGCTGCGGCGACGACTTCGAGTAAATCTACCGATTCTACCGATCAAGGTGCTACTACTGCGGCTCCTAGCGCAGCCACCGCCACCGCCACCGCCACCCCCGCCACCGCCGCCCCCGCCACCGCCACCACCCCCACCACCACCACCCCCACCCCCACCACCACCACCACCACCACCACCACCACCACCACCACCACCACCACCACCACCACCACCACCACCACCACCACCACCACCACCACCACCACCACCACCACCACCACCACCACCACCACCACCACCATGCGACTTGGACTTCTGCCACGATTGAGTCCGTTGTGTTTATGGTAACTAATTACTCCCTATGTGGAGCAAACGAGCAATTCAATGTAAGTTTCTGTTATTGCTGCCCGTGCTTCTAGGGTTCAGTGCGACGTAACGACATAACCCAGGCGCACGCAGCCTGGGCAGTTGGCACAAGACATTGCCATGCACCCAGGGTCCCAGGGTTCTTCGACTCAGGGTTTCAGTGGACATACAGGTCCCACGAACTCTCAGCATTCTACGATTGATTCTTTTTTACCGCTTCAGGTCAGTCTGGGCTTGATGGGGTCCGTGGACA